AAAAAGTTCGGTTTTAAAACGCTTATCAGTCGTGCTAGAATGAAGATAAAGCTTCTCTGTTTTCAATTTTGCGGTCCTTTATCTTTGATTTAAGACCGCTACATGTTTACTGTTAAACCTCACGCTAACGCGTTCGGTTTTCAAATTACATTTAGCGGTCTTAAATCAACGATTAAGGACTGCAAAATTGAAAACAGAGTAGCTTTATCTTCTAATCATCATACACTTGAACTGCTGTTCTTCATTGTTGGTGTGTAAATGCCCTTGTTACATAAGTCATATCGGTTCATTTGCTTATAGATATTCTTCTACCACAAGACTACACTTAATATATGGTTAGAAATTGCACCACTAAATACAACTTTTACCGTTTCGATATAGATATTTTTAACGTTATTTTTGACTCATGGTCCTGATTCTCAGGCGATATGTAACTATATCTAAGGCCACACGTTTAGCAACAAATGGCAAATGGATAAAGGGATAAAGATCTCCCTTGATTGTGTCAATGAGTTCTGCTATAAGAGTATAACTGAGGCAAATTTTTTGGCAGCTTTCCAGCATTTTTGGGAATCTAAATATTCCTCAGTGGAGTTACTTTCGGCTTTAAGTAATTGATCACATCCAATAAAATTTGTGATATGGAATGTTCTGACTTCTTTCTTGGAAATAAAGCCACGTTGATGACAGAATCCAATAACATCATCTTTCAGCTCATCAGTTTCGGGATTGATGTTTAAGGGTGGACTAAATAAAATTAGTCCTTGTCTGAGTGAGATTCTATAATGGTAAACTGCGAGTATCAAAATATGCCTGTATCAGTTATTAACGATACACAAAGTTGAGGTTGTATGACATGCATTCAACCAACTGAAGGTTGAACATAAATCCGTGCATACGCCTCCTTAGAATAGCATAGATTATTGGTGACCTATTTAAAGTTTAAATCCTATGGGTTTGTCATACATGGTGTCTTCTCAGATACGACCATTCTGAATCATAGTGTATATAAAATCCAAAGCCAGGCGATTAAAGAGGCTTATTCGTTCAGATAACTCTCCTGTTTGGAAAGTAAAAATGTATGCAGCAAAATTAAAGAATTCGAGCAGCTGTAAATGTTAACATAAGCAAGTATGTGAAGGTGATGACGCTGTTCAATTTATTAGGTACATAATCGTGAGAAGTTTCAAGAACAACTTAAAATATATATAAGATAAAGAATATCTTTATCATGCGAGCGAGCGAGTTTAGTTTTACGCCGCACTCAGCAATATTCCAGCTATATGGCGGCAGTCTGTAAATAATCGAGTCTGGACCAGACAACCCAGTGATCAACAACAGGAGAAGCGATCTGCGCAATTGGGAACCGATGACCTGTGTCAACCAAGCCAGAGGGCCTGACCACCCGATCCCGTTAGTCGCCTGTTACGACAAGCATGGGTTACTGAAGGTTCATTCTAACCCGGACCTTCACGGGTGGAAACGCTAAGAGTAATACGATGACGTCCATATTAATGATATACGTATTTCATCTTAAAGGTGTCATTAATTCTCTGCCTTTGTTTCTTGCAAAAGCAAATGATACACCAATGATATCACCATTTAAAGTAAAACAAAGTAAAATAACTGAAACTAAATCTCTATTAATATTGATTTTTAAAATCAAAAACATAAAATCGATGTTTTCATCTTTTCTTTTCCTACCATCTGTCACGGCTGCTCCTGATAAATGGGAGGCAAATAATGGCAGTCCCCATATTGGTTGAAATCGTACTGCAATTATAAGGTGCTCTATCATGTATGTCATGTATGTCTTCTGTTTATTTCCTACTTTTTAGATGGATGGCATTTCAAAACCTTGTACTTGTATTTTTCTTTAAAGAGAGTCGTTTGTTATGTGTGATACAGACAGAGTGTTTTGAGACAGTTAATTTAATCGGAATGTACCGAAAGAAGTTAAGGTCTAAGCATCTGAGCTGATCGTTTAAACAATACAATTTCTTTGGGTAGCACTAGTAAAGCGTTATATTTCCAGCACCGTTTAATCTACGAGTCTCCGTTCCCCTTGGGTCATAAGCTGTTGGTAATAACCCCTCACAACGCCACCTTTCCATTTCATGTCTTAATGACACACGTTTTAATGTGTGTAATATTCGTTAATGGTGGTGAAGGAATAAATGTTTCCTTATATGCAATGATATTTTCACTGCTTGTGCAATAACAAAGAAAGGAGACCTTTCAATTGCAGGTTCCAAACGTATATATATGGACACGGATCTGACTGTTTTTACAGTAACTCTACATCTGGTATTAGGGACTGATCACTAGATTTTTTGTTGTATACACACGGAAAACTTACTACGGTTACTATCCCCCTATAGCCATTTATGTTCATATTATGTTTGTTTGTGTGATTATTTTTACCCCTTTGGACGCACCATACATTAAAAATATGCATGCCGGGCTACGATCAAAGACGAGCATCACGTGTAAAATGTGTACCCGTCATTAAGCAAATATCAAGTTTCAGCAAACTGTTCTTACAGCTCGATAGCCTGGAAAATCAATTGATTTCATTGTTGTTATGAGTCCTCATCAACATACAACTGCTTCAGGATGTCACTGAGGACTATTGATTGACATCCATCGAATATCAGCCGATCTGCCAGAAAAGATGTTAAGGCTAATGATGTTTAGGACCGTCATCGTTCATTTTGACCACGGGCGACTACGGCCAAGACCTTATCCGTTCATATCAAGTGGCGTGTTAAAAACTGAATGACTTCCACATCGTTTGTCCAACAGAACTGCCTAAAACCGGCCGGGTACAGAGCCAGGTAACCTATCAGATGTTCAGTGCTATCCCCAGATAAAACAACAGCATGACAAGCTTGGTGTGACATACTTTGGAGCAATTACCGTTTGGCGGGGTTGATGGTTTTGTACCTCTTACATGACTGCAAAGTTGATCCTATGAAGATCAGAAAGATCGGAATGAACGGTACATCACTAACATCCCAGATAGTGTTGTTGTACCACATTTCGATGACCATCCTCTGAACGCAAAGCCAGTATTCATGGGCGACAATGCAAAGTGCCTATCCCGTTGGTGATTCGTAACGTCAAGAGGCGGAAGCACCTATACCTCGGCCAACCAGATTCCAGATCACAATCCCATCGAGCATGTTTGGTACATTATTGTCGCAGATCCCTCAGTACAGACTCTTGATGAACCGTAACAAGCGCTCCATCAAGAATGAAACGGAATACCTCAAAGTCAAATTGAACGTATGATACTGTCAATAAGGAGGTCAACGATGCTATAGCAGTTGGCAGCGGTTACAGCCGAAACTGACACTGAGCTCGGTTATTGATGCTTATGTGATTTCATGAGGATTGTATGCCAGAATCTTGAAGATGACCGTTGTTATAGTATGGTGATACACGAGTGGAGGACATTTCTAAATGGGAGGCATCAGTAACAAAACATATGTCCGGGGCAATTCCCTATTTTAAGAGTTGACTTTCCTTTGCATATGACGCATGCCTTTTCGCGAACACTTGATACCATCAATATTTGATAGTGATTCATAAAGTTTAATACATTTATATATCATGCTGATCGTCACAATCTAAGAGTGGCGATTTCGTATGATAGTGAAAGCTGTGATCATGAGAAGGACGGGATCGCCTAATTGAGATTTTTAATAACAATAGAAAGGGGTTGGGTGCCTTTATTTACAGCAGTCTTTATAGACTACTTTCTCATGGCATAAATAAAGTGTAAGTTGAACTGTGCTTTAAGAGGTACAGATTATACACCTGGTGGATTTGGACCAAAATCAGGACTGTTAAATAGATGTTGCTGAAAACTATTTAACTACTATCAATAAAGTAAGTTCATGTGTTCATGCACGCAAGATGACAAAGCATGAACAAGACGCGGAGGATGCAGCTGGCAAGCAGTATTTGTTATTGATGCAATTCATAGAAAACAAAAGTAAGCTTAAATATTATATTTGACATCCTCAAGTCTTTGTTCATTAAGATAACTCTTTTCTTTTGGCTCAAAAGACATTTCTGATGGTTACAGAATTCGGAACACGATAGTCTTTGCTTATATGCGTTAGCCCTGTACGGTATATATATTTATGAATAAGTTTATGTGTAAAGGGACTTCTTTTGCATACCAGCCACTGACATTATCTGCAAGAAGAGGAAACAAAGTCGAGTACACAGATGTGAAATTCAATGGTGACATCTATAGTGTGGTTTCGTCCAATGTCATTATGCTCATTATTAAACTCTTGGGATAGGTTCATGAGGACCTTTGAAGAAATCATACCGTCTATCTGTCGATCTTGTAAGAAAATTGTACGAATTGACATGTCTTAATGAAATATACTACCGCAAAAACGTAACTGTGCATAACATAAAAGTTATTTGAAAAGTTATAAAAACAACCCTAAATAAAGATGCATCAAAGCACTTTACATGAAATGTGATGTCACGTATCGCGCGTGGCACGTGGCACGTGCACTTTGTGCACAATGTACTTCTGACATCTGAAGTTCACACACCTGATATTAAAAATTGAAGAGCGTTTGATTATTCCCAATGCTCTGAATGTTGTGGAAAACATGTTAATTTCAACCTAAACTGCGCGTACGTCATGTCGCGGCTTACACAAAATCAACGTCTCCGCGACGTGGATTCTGGAGACTGGAATGGTCCAAACTGAAGTGAACAGACATTTTGGTGTGCATCGGAACACGATCTCTATGGGGACGTTTTCAACTTAATGGGAACACGAGAGATTTGCCTTGGTCCGGCCGTCCACGCGTGACGTCACGTCAGCAAGGACAACCACATTCCGCTGACCCATCTACGGAATCGATTCCGGACTGCCAGTTTGACTGCTCGGACCATTCCTGGCTTACGTCCAATCAGTTCCAGGACTGTACAGAACCGACTGAGGGAGCACAGCATCCGGCCTCGACGGCCTGTAATACGTCCAGTTTTACTCAAACGTCACCGACAGGCACGTCGCTTAGTGTCGCTAGCATCAACGCTAATGGTGGACACACACGATACTGAATGTGTTAACTGACGTTTGACGTTTGACGTTGAGTCAAATCATACAGATTTGGATATTATCCTGTCCACAGTTAAACAGTGACTGAGGAAAACACTGAAAATCAGGTTATTATCGTTTTGCATTAAAAATGGCATAGCATCAAACAATACACCCGTAAAGGTCCGGGTTAGAATATTGATCTTCAGTAACCCATGCTTGTCGTAAGAGGCTACTAGCGGGATCGGGTGGTCCGGCTCACTGACTTGGTTGACACATGTCATCGGTTCCCATTTGCGCAGATCGATGCTCATGTTGTTGATCACTGGATTGTCTGGTCCAGACACGATTATTTACAAACCGCCTTCATGCAGCTAAAATATTGCTGAGTGCGGCGTCAAACTAAACTCACTCACTCAAATAATGCACAGTAGTATATTTGAAATATGGTCGTAAGACATTCAGGCAACAGGTTGGCACCCTTATGGGCTCATAGGCAAAAGTATGGATACACCTAGTCTACAAAACATACATTTTGAAAATGTATTTATCTTTTTTACATCCAGATTTGAATTCCCCATGTATCAGTCAGGTGGTCAGAGGAGGTGCGTTTTCAAAGAAACAAGACTGTGAGTGGGGGAAATGTTTCATTCAGTTTTTCATATTTCATAAAGGTTGTGAAAATGACCCCCTCCCTTCTCCCCTGACTCCCTGCTGTGCAAGGTTAGGGTTGTGTACTCTTACTTGATGCTGACATCACCATGCTGAAGATTTTATTTAGAGAATATAAGTAACATTTGAAATTTCATATATGCTAATCAAATTAATTTCTTTAGTCATTTAAATATGCCTTGAAAGGGTTGTTGAACATTTACTATAATTCACATGTTTATTCTAGTAGTGTGACTATGAATCTTAACTCACTCACTTATTCTAGTAGTAAATTCCAAGGTTAACCTTTGACATCGTCAGGCTCTTGCCAAGCACCCATAGTCTTTACAGTCCTGTCACGAATGGCCAGATAACATCTACACTGCTGAGGAGTAGCCAATGGGAGACTTACTGGAAGCCCATGTTTATTTTAAAGTTTTCACTCCAGCCTTTAAGTTTCAGGTGCATCGATGATCTGATGTCGTGCAATAAAGATCAAAAAGCCAATTCCCTTCCAATGATGGTTTAAACATATTTTTATTCCTAGAGAATCTGGTTTGGTAAACAAGCAGAACTCTGCTTATATCAATACCTCACCAGTACATATATCATTTAAACAAATACACAAGAACTGGATACAAAAACCGACAAATTAAATCATATATGTGCGTTGTAGGTGCTTATAAACATTGAGTTTGCAGCTACACTTCATTAATTGATTGCATATAATTGTTAGTATAATTTGTCAAATCGTTTAGACTTATAGATGTATTGATGCAGGGACTCTATTATGTTCTTATTGACGTTGTTGTTTGCCGGAGGTATTCCGTATAACACAGTTTGGAGATTGTGTCCATTTACATAGAAGTAGGTATTATTTCTAATAGCAGTGTATAACTTACATGTAAAAAGATAATGAACAGTATCTTCATTGTGGTATCCACAAGCGCATCCAGGGTTGTTAGAAATGTGTCTATTTACTTTATCCGCATTCAAATCACTACAGCCGAGCTTAAGTCGACAGTGTACGATCTGACAGAATCGACTGCCATAATTTAGATCTAGATAATTATTTGATTTATCATTTTTAAGCAGAGATTTGAATTCACCGATTGAGTTAGCGAATACTAAATTATCAGGTAATGAATTCCAAATTTTAATTGTGTCAGGTAGGAACGACTTTTCATATATTTTAGTCCTACAATTTATTGTTTGTAACTTAAATTTATTACGGAGATTATATTGACTGTTTTCGGAGACAAAGTTAGGGACAAGGTCACAGAGGTAGTCAGGTGCAAGATCGTTATTCATCTTGTAAAAATGTATTAGTTTAATGTCGCGCCTCCTTTCTTTAAATGGTTTAGACTTTGTTTCGATATATAACCTATGATGACTAGTGCCACGAACTGCGCCGCATGTTGTACGAAGTGCATCTAGATGTAACCGTTCAAGAATAAGACACTGATTCGAATGATCTACATACCTGGACTCAAAATACAGAACATGTATGACATGTGTCGATCAATACCCCATCAATTCAAGTCTTTAATATCTATGTTTCACACAATGAGGTAAAATCAAGCATTCCATTTCTAAGATGATTTCAGAGACCCATATGCCCAAATATGTTCTAGATTCTAACAACATTCAAAGCTTCCGCAAAGGTTTCGACAAAAAGGGTTGTGCTACATGATGATTCATCAATAACAAGAATGATGCCCGAAGCAATTCCCTTATATTTTCAGAATCGCTTATGTGTATATTTCAGACCAGTTGGTCCCTAGTATGTATGGTGGCTGATTAGGGCCATCGCTTTCTCGCCTTAAAATTAAGGGGCGAGAAAGCGAGAAAGCGATATCACGAGACGAGAAAGCGATATCACGAGTCGAGAAAGCGATAACACGAGACGAGAAAGCGATAACGCGAGACGAGAAAGCGATAACACGAGACGAAAAAGCGATAGCACGAGACGAGAAAGCGATACTATTACGCGATAAAAGAAAGCGATAGAGCGATAGAGCGATAAAGCGAGAAAGCGAGAAAGCGAGAAAGCGAGAAAGCGAGAAAGCGATAGAGCGAGAAAGCGATAGAGCGATAGAGCGAAAAAGCGATAGAGCGAGAAAGCGATATACCAAGGCGAGAAAGCGATAGAGCGAGAAAGCGATAGAGCGAAAAAGCGATAGAGCGAAAAAGCGATTTACCAAGGCGAGAAAGCGATAGAGCGATAGAGCGAGAAAGCGATAGAGCGAGAAAGCGAAAAAGCGATAGAGCGAGAAAGCGATAGAGCGATAGAGCGAGAAAGCGATAGAGCGAGAAAGCGATAGAGCGAGAAAGCGATAGAGCGAGAAAGCGATAGAGCGAGAAAGCGATATTTCACATAATTCTGCCCTATCTGCACATGACGTCTAACCTGCGTATGATTTAATCCAACAGGAGGCTTTATTTTCATTTGGTTTAGTCGTATAGAAACAAAATGAACATGCTTTCAAATTCTGTGGCACTTTTCTAATTAATCCTTTAACTTGTCCAAACAATAATCTAACAATAACTCCAGAAACCGAGTGTGTTTTCGTTGAAATAAATGAGTGCTCTTAAAAAGTCTGTAAAAAGGATACCAATCATTTCATTTATTGTTACATCACTAATTAGACCTGGATTAATTCCTGGCTTACAATTCTTTATTGTCATTTCCCTTGTTAAATGCCACCATTGTTATCTCATTATTCATGCCGGGATTAACAATCCCTGGCTTCCATTTGTCCATCCACCCTACCAATTTAGCGCTAATTAAGTACTGGCTTCCCTTGTTATCTTATCACTGTTGTTTCAAATGTACGTCTTTAGCTTTTGTTTCCTAGTTTCTAGTCTCTTCATTCACCTGATGAAGGATAAGAATATACTCCGTAACATCGTGTTCCAGTGCGGTATTAAACAACAAACCAACCAAATGAACTCCCCGTCGGGCTTTAATGTATCAGTGATGGAATTTTTATACACCCTGTGCCTTTCATCTGGTCTTTTTATGTGTGCCTATTTCACACATACATATTTCTACTTTTATGTGAAAAAGGTATTGTTCTAAATGTATGTGCCATCGTCTTCCATACTTCTACAAGAATGGCTTGTCTACATACTTATATGTCTGTCTGTCCCCATATCCCAGCTATCTACTTGAGACAGTGCCACAAGTGCCATCGACCGACGTGATAGGTGTTTAACAAAAACGTAATATAATTATTACTTGGGGAATAAAGCACTATATCATAAAACACCTGTATATTGAAAATAATTTACTTTAGATGGGGAGTTGAGAAGTTGGACGTAAGAGGGTTGGGAAAGCGATTGCGTATAAGTTCAACTAAGTAAGTAGTGTAAAGTATATTGTGACTTATTGTGCAGAACAGTTCAACTGTTGCTGATAAGCTAATAAGGAGTCTACTAAATAGATGAAAAGGGGTTAAATGTTAAAAAGTAGGGCTGGGGAGGCAGGGTACGGCGTTTATGTTTTGGTTGTAAAACGTGCGGTGTGTGGCCTTGACATTGTGAGTTAGTCTGGATAATGGAGTTTACACTGTAATGTGTGGCTGGATAGGGATGTTTTAAAGGGTTTATTCTGAATTTAAGGGTGCCTTTTTTTGTTTGGTGTTTTGATATTTTGTTTTCAGACCCAGTCTGGTAGTTATTGAGTAATTTGGTTTCTTCTAGTAACTACTATCTAGTAGGTACTAGTCTTTGCACCTATGGCTTTTTTTATATGTTGTAAGGAGTTTAGTTGGGGATAGAGAAGGACGGGAGCGACTCACTCCAGTGTGTACATGATACATGTTTTATAGATGTGTAGGAGGGTTTATTTGGCTGCAGTGACCTTAATGCTCACAATATGAAACATACATTTTAGAAAGTCCGATATGCTCATGTGGACTAGTAAAAATGAGGATAGTTTTCACTTTTTCTTTACTTGTCCAATATATACTGTAACTCGAAATAACATGTACTGTTACCAAAAAGGATATACATTAGACTCAGTACTATTCGGAAATGCCCATGCAACTGCACCTGTAAATATGCAGATTCTTGAATCTGTTCATTTAAATATCGTAAAATCAGGCAGATTTGACGCCCTTTTCTCATTTGTCTGCATCCCAGTGAATGTCACCTATTGCTCTCATTCGATCTGAATCGTTTTGACATGAGTTGACCAAGTTATAAACAAGATGATACAGGTAGATAGTTCCATATATTGAACGAGTTTCAAGTCCTCCTCTGGAAACGAAAATGTTACGAAAGGTTAATTGGATACACCCGTCACCAATCACTTTTTCAAAACCTATGCGACCACGTCCAGCTGTAGCCTTTACTTTACTTTATTCTCAATAGACCACCAATGGTGGTATAAGAGTACGGTGTCTTCTCATGAAGTCACCAGTAGGGTGAACACTATTCGCACGAAGTCACTGGCGATTTTGCTTTGAAGTTTCTAATCCAATCAGGATTAACGGATTAGGGATTAACGGATTAGTCAGTTGGTCACTCGAGCGAGAGACGCTAATGAGCTGAACTGGTGTTCACTTCAAGTCACTGTAAATTAATTGACATTTATTAGTGAACAAGGCCCACCCCAACATTTATGAACTGATCCAGTTCTTAAAGATGGAGCAGACAACAACGGAGACAAGGTACCTGCAGTACGATGTTGGCCAACGGAGGCCTCCCAAGAGGAGAAAGTACAGAGATTTGGACACAAGACTGGACCAGCTGAAAACGAGACTCCAGGTCAACAACTTCGCCGTTTTGGAGTATGCCGATGCAGCAGCACACCTGCATAGTTTGTAAATTAGTGCTGTTGGTGATGTATGTAACATCGATGTACAAGTGCAAATAAAACAGTTTTGCCATTTCCCTAGTTCCAATTAGTAAATTTAGTCTGACTATTATGTCCCGTAATTGCAATAATTGGCTATTTAGCGACATTCGCACGAAGTCACCCAGTAGGGATTAGCGTTTTTCCAAGCTGGTGACTTCGTGAGAATAAACCAAGAGTACATATCACACACATCAATTATTACATACAGTCAAAATGGCGGCGGAAGGTAACAATATATTGTAGAAAACCAGTTGTTGGTATAACATGTCTATTATCTAACTTTTGTCAGAAGAAAACATGGCGGAAAAGATGGGTTTTGATAGATATTTTGATGGCAGAACAGGTTTGAAATTGGCGAACCAAAATGTTGCTTACATTATAATAAAGGAGTTGTATATCCATATAACTTTCCCCGTTGTTAAGCACACCAACTTCTAAATGCCATCCAAAGAAGTTCACTATATATGGCTAGACCAGCGTTTAACTGCGTACTATTTTCAGCTTTGATTAGACGAACGTTTGACTGCATCCTTTTATTTGCTTAGATTACACCATTGACTGTGGAATGGTTCTGTTACTACTTTGAGGTACCAAGGTGCTTTACTGTCATGTGCGTCTCCTCTATCTTTGGGTAGGAGCGAATTGGGTTCATGTAGGTGAAGTTCTTCAGTTAATATATTTCATCGTCTTTATTAATTCAAAGAAACTACAGCTGTATTTTGATCACCCTGAAATACAATAAAGTGACATAAACATAAACGCTTAAGTTCCCATGCCTCATTTCTAATTCCTCCACCTATAACCAAACAGCGAGAACTGATAATTATTTTTGAATTGTCTACATACGGCTCATTTATAGTGTCACATACTTCAAAACTCTCTGAATGTGATGTATATGTAATAAACTGAGCTGCAAAAGAAACGCAAACTCCAATTTGTTTGAAATGTAGGTGTAACTCACCATTCCATTAAGTTGGAATTGAACTGATGGCGTACAATATGGCGTCACAAAACCATCAACAATGAACCTAAAACATGAATATTGCTGTTAGGCGACATATATTTCAATTCACACACTCACTCAGTGATTTTATTTTAGGATGATGGTGTGGATGTGGTTGATTGTCTTAGTGCTGGCCACTCATGGTGGAAATCGCCATGAAAATATACTCGTCACAATGCCTTATTTGTCATAGGTCCCTCCCGTTCATCTGGCACTTCCGACACATTTGTCACACAACATCATAATTCAAAGAAAACCATGGAAAAGAACCAGTCAGTCTAGAAAATTCGGAAACTTTTGGACGCAGTACACATCAAGAAGATACGATCCGCTCTCAACAGAGATGAAGGATAGTACATTCCCAATGCCTACCATCACTTGATAAAGTAATCAATAATATTTCTTGTGTACATTATCTGTTTCAATTCAACTATGTACATCAAACCCATCTTTTGTATATACATCCACCTGGCCTCCTATAAATTCTAATTCAGTCCTTGTATGTCACCCTTCTGGCTTCCAATCAACTTACTCAATCTCGTCTACAAGCGTTGCACATCAACCTCATTTAATGTATAAACAACTCATTCCCTATCTACTGTAATAACAACTCATGTATATATTCTCTCAATTTGTTACTCATGTATCACTTGCTTGACAACGACATTAGGATCTATGTCGAAACGTCGCCTCCACAGAATAAAAGAAGTTGTATATCCAATATAATTGTCATTATTCTTCATCAACTCAACATCTAAAATGCCCATCAAAGAAACAATTCAATTGGTTGGTGTGATTAAGTTGGTTAAGACAATTCGAATCCAGTAATGTCAAAAAATATGTAATTCCTTAAGTCACATCACAAAATGAACGTTTCCGTTATTTCACGATATGACTATTGCATACGTGCAAATTGCATGTCAAAGGAAAGTCTACATCTTTATTAGATATTTTCTAAACGTCAAGTCATACACCGCCATTCGTGGGCAAGAACACTACTGAAAACCATTTAATACTATCCAGAAATTACGATGGCGACTGAGCTCCCGTTTGTAGTCGATCATGCGCAGACAGCACTGAATTGTGGGTAATATCGCTTTCTCGCTCTATCGCTTTCTCGCTCTATCGCTTTCTCGCGTAATGATATCGCTTTCTCGTCTCGTGCTATCGCTTTCTCGTCTCGTGTTATCGCTTTCTCGTCTCGCGTTATCGCTTTCTCGTCTCGTGTTATCGCTTTCTCGTCTCGTGATATCGCTTTCTCGTCTCGTGATATCGCTTTCTCGCTTTCTCGCCTCCGAATTTTAAGGCGAGAAAGCGATGGCCCTAATCAGCCACCATAAGTATGGTGATCTAACTTCAGTCGTTAGCAATCTACAGCCTGTTTTTATATTGTATTGTCATTTATAGTTCCAATATTGTAGATTTAATTGCTAGTTTTAAATGGATATCTGTGATACACTAGTAGTTTTACTGTTCTTCGTCAACAGGTTTTTTAATTTCTAACTTTATTCATCTTTAATATAATTATAAAATGTTCTCGTCACGATATGGCTGAAATATTGCCGATGTGACAATAAATATTAACTCACTCACTCACTCACTCAGACCAGTTGACTTACCTTTACATTTGTTTGTGACGGGTGTCCCGGTGAGGCAAGATAACTCACCCTTAGCAGCCCTGGTATCATTCTTAATATATGGCGATTTATAAACACGTTTGTTCTTTCACATTCTTGATTTAAATGAATCACAGTTTCATGTAGCAATTGATAAACCCAGGAAACGGTTTCATGTCCATTCTGGCGAAATATTATAACATTACTCTAAGCGTCAAAAGTAAAAATGAAACGCTTTATTCTCAAGAGAAAGGCATTTAAAAGGGTCCTCATTTCCATGAAATAACGCTTAAATAATAGCAATAAGGATATACTCCGAAACGTTGAGTTCCTCATAATAAAGAAGTTGACGTCCATAAAATCTCTTTTCCTTATGTGTATCACTTCTAAATGTCTTTGAAAGATTGTGTTATTGCTTTTCATCAAAGAGAACCCATTTCTAACTTTATGTTAAGTGTAGTCTTGTGGTAGTAGAATATCTAATAGCAAATGTACCAATATGACTTATGTAATAGGGGCATTTACACAACAACAATAAAGAACAGTAGTTATTAAGAGTATGATGATATGAGTTCAAAGATTGTTTGGCAATATTTGTAGCATTTAAAGGGTTAAGGACAGACAGCACGCACTGGGAAAGCCACTTGTGGTTCTGGTATGCGTCATATGGTCTAGATTCACGAAAGCATGCTTGGCTTTGTCGCTGATGAATAGATATGGAATTGGCAAGTAGCACGGAAAGAACATAAAAAAGTTACAATCACATTGTTAAAGATCCTTGATCATACCATGTTTCCGATTCTCAAGTAACTCTTAAATCTTGCACATCATGCATTAATTTTTGTAAAATGCTTCTACCCTATCATTGAAAATAATGCTATGATTTGGATTCTTATCTCTTCAATTAATCAGTATTTTTTTGATGGTTTTGTATGAGAAAATATTGAAATGTCCATAACAACGCTCTTCAAATCATATTCTAATGATCAGGAAAGTATAGCTTTACCTATGGTTTTTGGAAAACATTTGTTCAACATTCACATAATACTATTGCTGTTCTCATGATGGTAATAACGTTTGGTTTTTATGCAAATGCCCATGTTCTCTGACTGTTGCCATTGGAAACGGGTTCTCTTTGATGAAAAGCAATAACACAATCTTTCAAAGACATTTAGAAGTGATACACATAAGGAAAAGAGATTTTATGGACGTCAACTTCTTTATTATGAGGAACTCAACATTTCGGAGTATATCCTTACTCCTTCATGAATCATTCAGCTGATGAAAGAGTAAGGATATACTCGGAAACGCTGTGGTCCTCATAATAAGGACGTTGAGATCCATAAAAACTCTCTTCCTTAATAACACGATGTTACAAAACATTCAGAATACTCATGTATTTATGGATTTATTGTTGAAATTTTAAGACTAATACGTCTCGAAAAGTTCGATGTTTCGAAAACAAAACTAAATACAAAAAGAAATAATGTTTAAGAGTGTTGCCCATGGAATGATTTAGGATTACAATATACGAATAGCAAGCAAATGACTGAGTGATCACAAAACCTATATTGTCTGAAGCAGATAATGTCGACAAAGGCTGTCTTCATGTTGATAAGCCCACACCAGACCCCGCGATGCATAAAAACAGCGATTACCCTGCTATAGCAGCTAGTATGTAGTTGGGAAATCGGATTCATAATTCACCTACGGAATAGATATGATGGATGGTCACTGACTATTCATTAACACTTCAGTTACTTATTCGATCTGAACTAACATATGGGTATCGTGAGAATGTTTAATGTCTGAATACACTTCATAAATTGGTAATCTCTGATAACTATATTATAGTTAAGGACAGCTTCTCGTGGTCCCCATGACCCCAAGAATGGTAACCTTACCTTTCTGGCTGGTGATTTATAGCCCTAATTTTACATTGTATCGTGATCCAATATTCAGATATTATATTGTTTCTATGACTAGTTTTAAACATTTTGTGATAAATTGCTGGTTATCATACTGCACTTGATGGCAGTGTTTTAAAGGTATCGTAAGAGTACAACCTGTTCCAGTCACAATATGGCTCAAATATTGCCGACGAGACTCAGTCACTCACT